AAAAACAAGCGGAACTTATTTCCCTCGAGGATTCGCGCGGAGGAGATTCATTTGCGACAAGCGTTGCATGTTACAACAGCGTTTAATTAAATACAACGCGCCGTACTGTAATTAAACAGATATTCATAAAGTAAATGCTAAAAAGTCTTAATAGACACGAACTGCTTTCTTTATCAAGACTATGTTTCAACCGTAAAATCTATATTGTATTACACGATTTTACGAGAACTGGCCTCAACTTTCGACGTTGTCGCTATATTATGAAAGTTACATCCGTATTCGTTGGATCGGGCGTAACTTTAAACGCGCTGGTGATGGTTCGGCGTCGTGACGGAGATATTACATCGTGAGGCACGAAGCGAGGCGAGGCGAAGCGGGGCAACGGTGTTCTGATGACGGGGGGGGGGGGTGAAAAACGAATAAACGAACGAGCGTTGCTCTCCCTCTCCCACCCTAACACGGTCATCCTAACTTCGTTAACCGGTAGTACACTGTTTGTACGGTAATCGTACGCGAGGCGAGAGGAACGGACGGAGGGAAAAAGAAGGGTGGACTCTCTGCCGCTGTACCACCTTGCTCACGTCGGAAGCTCTTACGCGCTGTTTAACTTATCCATTTAAAACTCAAACACGCGAAACAATTAATTAGTAATTAACGCTAGCCGGTAGCCGGAGCAACAGAATAGAGAGAGGGAGACAGGTGGACGGCCAGGCAGGTAAGGAGGAAGGGCGTTCCTCTCAAAGGGCGGCCGTTCCACCACCCTCGAAAAGGAGGTATTGAATGGGTAGCAAGAGGCTTCCGCGAGTGCAAGAAACTTTAAAGTTCGGAACTTTAGTTCAGCTGTTAGCTTCTAATTAGCGGACAAACAGCCAGCCCTGAGATACAGGCATCGCGTCTATTGGTGGCCTGGAGGGAAGAAATTGTAAACTAGATGACTATCTGCTCGTCCACCTTTCCTCCGGTCTCATCTGATTACGCTGAATAAAATAATATTAAACAATTAAAAATATACGTCAAGAATTAGTTTAAACGCACTGTCGATGATTCGCCATGCTTGTTATTTAATTAAAAATCTTAATACAGATGAGAAATGTTTCTTACGAGAAAATAGCATATTTTGTCTTTTATCTGCGCACACTTAAACACGGGGAAGTTGAGAAGAATCGATAACTCTGTTTTTTTTTATGCTCTTCATATCATTGATATTCTTTAGCTTAATCGTATTAGTCGTTCTAAACGCACAGATTTGCAATATTCTGTCCGTTGAGGAAACTTAATGCGATCGACTTTAGGACCATCGATTTTGCAAGTTTCGTTCCTTTTCCTCGCGGTCCTCTTGCAGATTACCTGTCACTCCGCACCCGAATTAACCGCTACCTGTCGACATTATGAAAACGTTGGGCGTTACTGGCTGCGCCGCGAGTTGGTAACGTTTACCTATGAAATGACAAACGCACTCATGCCGCAAGTTTTGCACGGACGGCAGTCTCTGTATCGGTTCTGAACGGGTCGCGGATTGGCCGGGGTGGGGGTCGCCCGGGGTGGCGAGTCGGGTCACCGTTGGTGCGAGGGTTTCAATATGCTTCGGCGGTAGTTACAGTACCCTCTCCGGACCACCGCAGATCGGTCTAGGCGGTGAACGGGTGGGCAGGTGGGGGGTGGCGGAGGAAGGAGGACTATCGTGCTGCGGTATCGGTCGCCTTGGTTATTTAGGAAACCATATCAAAGTTTGAGTTGGCTGCCTGCCGCTGCTGCGCGCCCTCCCTATCGGCGCCCCCGCCTCTGGACAATGAGGTCTCTTCCGGTCTCGTCGAGGTCGCCCTTGACGTTCGTTACAACGCCAAATAACGGTATCTGAAGCCACCAGCATGGTGATGGAGTATACGAGAAAATGTGTTGTACGTTGTAGAAATTTGCCGCTCGTGCGGATGGTTTCCATCAATATTGAGCATTTTCAGAAACATGGAAACAATTTGTCCGCCAAAAATATCTGTATAAATTAATACTGGTTCCCTAGAAATACACAACAAAAATTTGGCGAATTATTGTTCAACATTTTCATGTCTAATTTAGAAAAAAAAAATCATTTTATACATGGAATAACATATTTTTAAAATATTTTATATCCATATTTCAGAAAATAAATTCAGAGAGTCTAAAATAAAGTGCACGACAGCTTTAGAATTATGTTCTTGACCATAATTTGAGAATTGTGAGCCCAAAAAATTGATGTTATTATTTGATATTGTCAGAGACTGGCTGGAACGTTTATTTATTATCCAGTAACAATATTTACAAGAAAATGTTTTGGGAAAAGTAATATAATGAAACGAAATCTAAATGGTACAAAAATGTTTGCGTGTTGTAAAAAAGAAGAGACGTTTTGGTGTGACAAATTAAGCTAATAAAACAAGCAAGTCGAAAAAGCTCTGTGTATTGCGGTCACTACGATCGCGCGTTCCTTGCAGTGACGTGCAGGGGACCAATGAAAGCCGACGTGTTACCGCAGTGAATTGTAGAGCGAGAAAGGGAGGCGGTTCTTCTAGTTTCCCGCCAGGTCCGCGGGTTCTTCAGGAAGGGTCTAGAGATTTAATTAAGGCAAGGCGACGGGTAGAAAGACGAGTCGCTACGTCGTGTAAACTCGAGCCCACCCGTTCACCCCCGTCTTCTGTCCCCGTCTTTGAAACGAGCCAAGTCAGTTACTCCTTCTCCACGCTATTCGAGAGGATCTCTCTCGAAAACTCGTGAGAACGCTGCACACGTCTGGAGCGTAGATCTTGTTCGGCCGAGCGTGTGCGTCAAAGTTCGTCAGGCTACTCGGATTTCCAGCGTCAGAAATTCTCTTCAGGAGGGCCATGTCTTATTGCGACTTTCGTAAACCTTGTCACGATGTGAAGGCGTTTCCACAAAGTTACCGAAACGTTTCATTAGATGGCAAGAAGACTCAAGATAATCGTATATTTATAAATCCATCCGGTTCTGTGTGCTATAATTTCTAACTGTTTCGGTTCCGATATTAGAGTATCTTGTCTTAACAAGATCGTTACTACCTGCGCGATATGCCACGTTTGATCGAACGGGCTAATTATATCGGGCAAGTTTATATAAAGAAGTTTCTTCTCGGAAGCTTTTACTTTGCTCTTCTTCGCGAGCATTGAGCTTACCGGCTCTCTTCATTCAAAGTCCACTACGAAACAGCGCGCAGGCATCATCTGCCTCGCGGTTTCAGCGTCAATAATTTGCAAAGGCTGCGGGGCAGGTTCTAACCGACTGATTTCACGCATCTGGCGTTTGGTGGTTTAGTCTGGCCTGGTCCATGCTCGCTTCAGAGTGAGAGGATCAGCGAAAGATGTCGGGAACAAGGTAGAAGGTGAGAGACAGTTAACGAAAGAGAGAGAGAGAGAGAGAGAGAGAGCCGGGAGAAAGCTGGAGTTAGACGGCGAGAGGGTGGGTGGATGAAAGCGGAGGGCGAGTGCGGGCAGTCCCTGCCTCGCCGCCGTGGTGGTCCCGTGATCAATATTCCTTACCCCCTTTGCCTTGGCTTACCCCTCCGGCACGATACGGGTGCCCCTTACCTCGGGAAAACCCTCCTTCTACCCATACACCCGCCACCTATCCCCCTGCCCCCTCAGGGGAGAAGCCGGCAGAAACCCCTGAAACCCCTCTCGCACCCTCGTCTTAATTAGGAGTCTGAATCTGCGGCGGACACGCGTATAAGGGTAGGTTGGAGGAGGTCGAACGGGGGGTGGAGTGTGGGTGGATGGTTGGTGGTAGAGGCAGGGGTAAATCCGCAGACGAGCCTCGTGTCCGAGACATTATTCCCGACTTCGTTGCGATCGCCCGGCGTCACGAACGTCAGGTCACCCTTTTTATTATTCCCCGAGATAAACACATTTGCGCGTCCTTACCCTGCTGCGCGGGATCAACGCCGCGCCGGCTCGTGGCCGGCCCATTTTCTAGACGAAAGAATTTCGCCATCGACTTCATCCCTATTTAACGCGCAATTAGCCTGTACGAGACCCCGTTCGTGCTTCTTACGCGTATACTGGATGCCTTAGAAATTGCCTTCATAGCTGCATATAATTTTATTCACTTCCGCAAAAGTTTAGCTCGACGTTTCGTGAATAGAATTTTAAAGGATATTATACTATTCACGATTTTGCTAATAGCGATTTGTACTTGCCGTAAGAACACTTTTAAAGTTTTCGATAAATTGTATCCGTATAATTTTTTATTTTTACGAAATTTGAAAGGAATCACGAGGGAGAGTGGCGATTGCATTAAAATAATCAATTATTGTTGGCGCATGTAGAATTTTAAAGAACTTGAAGTGCGCACACACGGCAAGGATATTTACATGCGTGGTACATGTACGATAGTACATGAAGGGTGGGCGGTGGTGAAGCTGAACCAAGAGGATATTGGGGTTAGGCCATTCATTAGATTATGGGAATTCGGTGGTACCCGTCGAAGGGAAAGGAGAGGAAGGGCTGGGGCTTGGCAGCGCGATCAAGGACCACCCTACGTGCATTAGCTTGCGTCACAAGGCGCGGCGATGGGGTTGAGAGCGGATGTGAAGCACAGAAATACTGGATATCTTCCCGATTATGTTTCCGTTGAATCTCTTGATTTTTACTTTATGCGGCAAACTTAAAAAATAAAATTTACTATTTTACTTATTATTCACTGTACGCCAGGGAATATCTATGCGAGCGAATATTGTCATTTATTTTTACATATTGAAAGAGGACTGAATTATGTACAGTACGGTGCATTAATTCGGTTCGGGTAATAATTATGGATGGACAAAAATTACTTGATTTAAACATATAATAGGTGCTTTTTGCCAATACGATCCGAGGCGAATTGATGCACCGCACTGCGCTAATTGTGCATATACTGCACATAATAATATTTATTTACCTAAACTTCTAAATATTTATTATTCTACTTTTCTACAAACATCAGAGGACTAATTGGTATGTTTTTTTCTGTTGCAGAGCCGTCCCTAGTGAGGCGGGAATATCCCCGCCAAATCATGAACAAGGTAAGTTCAAACATTATAATTTCCTTTGACCTTTAATATTTAAAGGTTACTATAATTATAATACCAAGACATAAAAATTACGATAGAATGCAAACGATGTCATGGTTAGTTTTATTACAAAAAAATTGAGATTTCTTATTATTAAGATCTAAAGTAATTTTTATATTTTTTCGTATACTAATAAATTAGATAAAAGAATATAGTGTCATAAATGAGGATGATTGAGGCTTTCATCGAGCCTAGCAAGTCAGTTACTAGGGAGGATCGATCTAACACCTTTAATTGGTTTTCGTGCACCGCAACTCGCATTGCGTGCTCGTATCTTTAGTTACCAACGTCTGTGCCTACCGATCAACGAAATCTTACATTAGTGCATACGAGGAATTACGTTTTATAATACACAATCTTAATGGCTCAGAAAAATTAGAGAAATTATTATCAGGCAACGTTAGTTGACAGTTTAATTTCGACAACATTAATATTAAATTAACTCCGCGACTTTCATTAATTACTAATTAATAATTTTACGTTACAATAGAATAGAAGATATTTATTTTAAAAAGAATATATTGAAACGTTATAAAAAATTTTTTATAGCGAAAAAGAAGTTTACAGTTTCGATGTGTGTTAGAGAAAGAGAGAGAGAGAAAGAGAGATGAGTTACATGTCTCCGCTTACAATATGTAATATGTATATAACTTGTATGTGTGTGTGAGCTTCATTTGTAGGCTCTTTATACGCTGTCTGCCTTTCCTCATTATGCATCGCACATGAGAAAACTTGCTTGGAATTTCTCTTCACTCCCCTCCCTCTCTCCCTCCCCCCCCTCTCTCTCTCTCTCTCTCACCTACTCTCACGCTTCTCTCTCTTTTACTCTGTCATGCCGGTTTTCCTCTGCCTTCGTTCTGGGGTTGCCAAGCCACCATCTACCACCTTTCCCCGCACATCGTTGCCCGCTTCGTACTTCGGCTTCTTTATAAACTTTTAATGACGGCAAAGCCTAATCGAGAGAACGAGCGAGCATGCCCAGCTTCGCGAAACTACCCGGGAAAATCGACACTGAATCTCGATGTTCGATACTGCACCGAGCCAACCGTCACTTAAAAAAAACGTTCGTGCAGTCTGCGATAATAGCTGCGTGCCACCCTTTAATTATTATTGATTAATTTATTAAGAAATTTTATTATGTTATATATAAAAAAAGATTAGTAACTATTTATTTATATTATTCTACGTTTTGGCATACGCATAGTTTCTTTTGTAAAATATTTTATAAGATATCAATGTAAAAAGTATATTGATAGCCGCTCGATAGCCGGTAGCTGTGATACAACGCTGCATAAAGTAAGTCGTACGAGCAGGAAGTTGAAGTTCGAGCTCGGGCTTGAGCTCGCGGGGGCGCTTTCGATTTGCAACAAATCATTCAGCGTTTACACCCGGCTGCCCGTTCAGTTGAATTAAACTTCCACCGAGAACTTCGTTCTCCGTTTACCGGCTCGGTGGTATACATATACACTGGGTATAGCTAACCGTCTGTACCTGCGAACTGCTTCTCGAAGTTCTCTCCCAGTGCCTTCGTGCGAAAGCAGTTAGCTGTTTGACGTAGCGCTATGCTCGTTACGGACATGTTTGGATTAACATGCCTACGCACGATGTACGCGAGTACAACAAATTAAAGCGATAAGTGATAGCCGAATATTTTTGTATATTTTGAATACGCCTAAGCATACTTAAAATAAATATATTTAACCATCAATAGAGCTAAATAGGACCATTGCGATATAAATCAAACAAACGAACGCGCCTTTAGGTCCGAGCAAGATGCTGGTAGCCCAATAATTGTAATCTAAAATGTGAATTCTGAGGGGAAAACCGCTGAGAGCATTATGGAGTACAGATTTGCGGCGTTACTGGGCATTACTAGGCATCACTAGGCATTTTTTGGGCATTAGGCCTTGCTGGGACATTATAAATATAAAATAAGATAAAATAAGATAAAGTAGTGCTCACTGGGCCATTAGTGGGCATTGGTGTACAAGATTTTGGTCAGCGGTTTCCCCCTCGGTGAATTCATATACCGTTTTCCACCTTGTTCCGCGCGCCGGTTTCTTTTTGAACGTAACACAATTTCAATTAGATAGAATCATTCAAATATATTTAAGTATGCTTAAAATTAGCACATCGCAGAACATTATTATAAGATTTCCTACATGAATCAAAACCGACGAGTTGGTTACTAGACAGAAAGATAATAATTTGCGTCTATAGTTGACGTTTATTGGGGGGAAGTGGATTTTTAACGGGAGTTTATATTATATATCAATTGAATCTTTTTACGCACTATCGCTGGTCCGTAAACTCGGTCGTATACGAGCTGTAGCTTTTTCTTTCCCTCGAAAAAGGGAATGGCGACATAAACACGTAACGTTCGGCTCCTAAAGCACGATTAAGCTAATCCTTACTTATTTGTTCCGTGCTCCTCAGTGCGTACGTCCTGCTGCTATTAGATATATCTCCGGATCGCTGTTTCCTTGGGGACAGTCCTGGGGAAATTGGGCAAGTTCGAAGTTTCTATTGAATTGTTGCTCTATGTACCTCACACGATTGCCTTAATGTTACAAGGATTATTACAGCATACGTATATGTATATTATATGCATACATTATTTTTACTAAAATCTAATGTATCATATAAACGATTAGAACGCATTGAGAAGGATCTACGTCTTTTTTTTAGATTGTCAAAATTGATTATGGTTTATTAATAATTCAACAGGTTAATCTTTCCTTTTTTAATACGCGATAATAATTTATTAAAATTTGATTCGACTAGTGGGTTGGCTGTTGATGACAAATCTGACTTTTAAATCTCATTGTCGCAGGCACCGGTCATGAAATAAACGTATTGTGGGCTCACTTCCGGTGGCATTTAAAAGAATACCGGTGTCGGCGTGTATACCGTGCGCCATTTAGTGGCGGCACTCTCTTTCATAAAAGACCTTAATAAAAATCCCAATCTAAACAAGCTTAATTTACGTCCGCCACATAATTACCTACCCCGAGGCATGACTTCCCTCGCTCACCCCGCCCCTACCGCGAACTACCTCCGCTGGCTCGCTCCAGGAGAAAAGGCGAAGGGATGGGAACGAAGGAGAGGCGTGCGCGTCGAGAGCGCACTGAAAAATCTAAGAGGCTTAAAGCATTAAAAGGGTTATATAACATTCATTACCAGCGGGTCAGCCTTTGTGAAATTTCCCTTGGAAGCGCCTTCACTCGGTGGACACGACCTTCTCTTGCCCCCCCCCCTCCCTCACTTACTACCCCCTTTGATTTTTCTCCCCCCCAAGCCTCTCCCTCGCCCTTACACCGAGCGGCCATCTTCTTCTCGTCGATCCGTGCTCTCGCTCTTCCGCAGCATCGAGCATCCCTCGTTTCTGAGGGTGCAGGGTAGTCACGTGATCGCGCCATCGTTCGGCGCGTGAGGGGCGGCGGGGTGGAAAGTGGCGGAGAAAGGAGAAGAGAGGAGGGTCCGCCTCCCTGATGAAGATGTCGCACACGCCGGGGACCCCGGCGAGATTACTCGGGTTAGAACCTGCGGACCCTGGTCAGGGCACATGCTAATTGCTTTATTTGACATCAAGAAATAATGTACTGCTGTTCCCCGCCGTACGACCGCCGCCGTGCGGGAACCCCGCGAGGAAACCAGAGGTCCTTCGTTCTCACCTCGCGTCCTTTCTCACTCTCCGCTCCTTCGACTATTCCTATAAATTCACTCGCGTCCCACGGCAATGGCGGTCTCTCAAAATCTCGTGGACCGCATCTCTCGTTCGGTATAAAGACATTAACGTGTGTGGTTTACCATTCTTTTACTCCGCAAGCGCACACGTATCGCGATAAACAGGATATACGTGTAAATTAAATGCATAACTCTTGAATCACTCGTAAAAGAACATTTCTACGTAATATCAATTTGTTTCTCCTCACTGCAATAACATTTTGTTTTTATCGGTGCAACTTTCCAAAGGACGGGCTCCAGGCCGCGTCGCGTGGAATGCAAAGCACAGAGCAGTCGGTTGTAAAGAAGACTTATGCCCGCGCCTCTCGGCTCGGCGGACCCAATTTCATAGAGCTACGTGAGACGACTGGTTACGTCAAGCAGATCAACTAGAAACCGGACCTAATAACCCTTAGTTCGGACCAATAAACATTTTTCCGGGTTACATATGATGGAATTTGTATGCCAAATCGCGTATATCCAAGAGATGCTGGCGCGTTCCGACGCGGGGCACGCTCCTCTCTCGTAAATATGCCCTCGGTTGGCAAAGTGCTATCGCGAGAGAGGGGAAAGGGGTGGGCGAGCGGGGGGAAAGAAACGGGAAGGGGGAAGGTGTACGGGGGCTTAGGGTCGGTTCTGGGGTCGCCAAGGGTGCATTTCATCTTCGGAGGCGTCAGCTCGGAGACCGATCGACTATACGGCCGTCGGTTGGATCATCCATCTTTTATCGAATCGGACCTGATGGCCAGGCCGCCGCCGCCGCCGCCGCCGCCGCCGCCTCTACCGCGGACTCGCAACTTTTGCCTCTCCGAAGACTCCTGAACGCAGCACCTGAGCGTGTGTGTCCGCATGTAAATAATGGACAATGCTGTTTCGACGCGTTACCCCGTGGCAGCTTGTCAAACTTTCCACTCACATTTCGCGATAGGAGTTACTCTCCCATTTATTAGTCGAATATCGTACCTAACGAAAATATTCTCATAAAACAGTCAGACAAACTTCGAGACGCAATTATATTTGCAATATAATGTTAAACCGTTACACAGCACGTCTCCACCGGTATATGCGATTTAATAGTGATCAATGTTCTATGGATCGGGCCATCCATCTCTCGTCGAATGGAAATCCGACATACGGTGCCAGAAGCCGTTACAACCTTCTCAACTTTCGTCTCCGGTAGCGTCCATCATGTCAGGCTGGGATACGGCTCTCCTAACCAAACATAC